CAGTCAGCAGTAAGAGGAGGAAAAAAGAGGCTGGAAAAGCAACAGAGTGGCACGCCACATTGGGCAGGTTTGAGACTGCCTTGGCTGGGATTCGAGCTGAGCTGAAGGGTATTGTTGATTACTTCAAGAAGGAGACCCAAGAGAAAGACCGTAAAGGGCAGGTGTATTCCATCATTTCTCAATTGGATGGATTCACAGTCACTGAGATGCTGACAGCCACCACATAGATTTGGAAGGAACCTCACAAGATAGATATCTTGTTTGGGTTACCAATGCATGTGCAGAGAGAATTTATGAAGATGCAGCTTGGAACAAGTAATGAGTACCGACCAATATTTGATTTCTAGTGAAGTCTTGTAATGGGTTTTATTTTTGTGCACAGGGTTATTAGTATGCTGACACAGTGGTTATATTCCCGTAGTTGTATTTTGCCTATATTCTAACAGCATACAGGATTATGTCTTTTGTTATGTTTTTGTGAAAACCATGTATGTCTAGTAACTAGATGGTAATGGTCTATGTTTGCAGTTAGTACGGGAAGGTACGGATCACTAATATGGAATATAAAAAACTCTTAACTTTGGTAGTGATGTATAAAAGGATGTTTACATGTCTGTGCATTTAATGTTTGTTGTCTTAGTATGGTGAATGTGACATTTTGATTTACTTATGAAAACTGACATTTAGGTCACCAAGAAAGTATGGTCAAGGTATACTAGCATTTATAAAGTGTCAATTTTATAATTTTTGTTTTCTTTCCTTCTTTGATGTGCTTTGTTTTGTGGGTTGGATTGTAGGAACGATGGGAGGACCACCATGTTGCCCAGTAGTGACGACAGAAAGCACAAAAGTTCGTGAACAATGTCAAGAGAGCCACACAGTTTGTATATATAGCAATGTGAAAGGTATTACGATTGGATAGTTATGGAGTCAATTTGTTGTATGGTTGGGAATAATGCTTATTAACGTAGCTCATAATTGATTGCTGTGCAGATGTAGGCAGGACCAGTCATTTGGTACATGAAGAAAATTAAGAGATTCTTTCAGCTTTAAAGGGCAGCAAATGCAAAGGTACCAACCTTGCAACTCGTAAACCGACTAATGCTTTCAGTTATGAAAGATGTATGGAATTGTTTGCTAATGTAAATGAATGATGAACATATGCAGGTGCCACAAATCAATGAAGGTCAAGTAGGCGATTGACAAACAGAAGGGGAGGGGGGATGTTGAGCAGCAGTATGTTTGACCTCCACATGGGGTACAAAACTGTTTTACAATTTACATGCTTCATGCCATATTTACATAATATGTTTACCTCATATGATGGACTGCATATTTAGTGATCTGCAGGAACTTGTGAAGGAGTTTTAAAGGAGATAACTTTCACAATTTCATCACCCTGGACTGTATGTGGTTTTTTATGTACATAGAAGAAGTGTACAAAAGGAACGTGCTGAAGTGGATTGACGAATTGAACACATTCTCAAGGAAATATGTGTTCATTCCTGTAGTCCTCTGGTGATTTTTTGATATTGTGGCTGTAGGCATTTGTTTTATACTTACCAAACGCGGACATGGATTGATTTCGGTTACTTAAGAGTTGACATTGATAATATGCATAAATTATGCTGACAGGGGTCATTGGAGTTTACTAGTTTTGTGCAACTTTGGTGGAGATGTAAACTTGGAAATTAAAACTTGATGCATGGTGCTGCTTGATTCACTTGGATCAGAAAATAGAAAGACACTTCAACCTCTGATTTGACGGTAAACTTTGATTATTTCGCAATTATTTGCAAGCACATTTGAGCACATGATGAAATTGTATTGTTGGAGATGTGATATTGGAATGGGTTTCAAATTATCCAAGCTTAATTATGCAAGTTTGTGAGGGATATTTATGAATCAGGAACAATGCCCAAGCATCCACCATTGGTTGAGAAACTGCCTTTGCTAGTGCCTAAGGTGATAAAACAGTATATTGTGTTGGTTGATGGTAATTAGTGGTTCATATGTTCAGTATTTCATGTATTTGTTGTGATCGATAAATGCACTCACCAGGTCCCTCAACAACGGAACCACATGGATTGCGGATATTTCGTACTGTATTATATAACCAAGTTTGTGGAAGCTGCCCCAGAAGACTTTTCAATCAACGACGGGTATCTTTACTTTGTAATTACTGCAATCTTTTAATTGATCAGGTTGATTTGTTTATTGTCTCTTCAATTATAATATGTGAGTTATTGTTGTTGATTTTTATTCTCCACAGATGACGCATGATTGGTTTACACTAGTTGAATTTACAGCCTTCCGTGACAAACTGCTGTGTGAAGTTGAGTAGCATAGGCTACGTTTTATTCGTTTATGTATGATTATTATGCATTGAGTATTGTGTAATTAGTATTTGCGGATGTCAAATCGAGTTCACTTAAAAAATGGTGGTGATTATGTTCACTGTTGCAACGTGCGAAATTATGTATTATTATTGGTTCATAGGTTTAAAGAGCATTGTTATTCAGTTTGTAGTTAATTTATTGGTACATTGCTTGGATTCAACATAATGTAAATGCACAGGTACTCCAAAATATGTGATATGACAAATGTACCAATAATTCTCACACTTTTCAGACATAGTTTCGGCCCAGGATAAGTGGAAAAAGTTAAAAAATTTCCTCAAATTTGGAAACTTGCTTCTAAATTCTAGCCATGGTGTAAACCAAAAAAATACAATTTTTCTTTTGCCTTGAAAAAAAAAAGGCTTCAATTGAACTAAAGTAGAAATGAACATGTACGAACTATAATTTGTGGTAATACAAAAATTAGAGTTTTAGATAGAGTTTTAAATTGGGAGATGGCAACTATATTTGTTGCAATACTAGGGTCAGGTGTTGAATGTATACCCAACAGAATATACAATAGGTTTTTTTCGGAGTTTCAATAGTTTGTGTAAATTTGTCAATAAATAACTTAACAATAAAATACTTGGCTAAAATATAAGAAAAATAATTTTGTTAATTTATCATTTCTTTTATTAACCAAACAAGTTAATTATTTATACCCAATAATCATCTAAAGTGCATTTTAGTAAAATGTAATCAAGACATCTGCTGTTACAGCCAACCAAACAAATTAATTAGTAATACAAGTAATCATCCTAAGGGTATTCTAGGAAAAGGGTATTTAAGGACATCTGTTATTACTGTCAACTAACCACATTAATTATTAATACATTTCAATTGAACCAAGCACAATAATAATTTAAATCTGGTAATCTACAATGTAATATTTCTTTTCAATAATCTTATTATTAAGATAAAAAAACATTATACGATCCAAACGTCCCATAGTAATAAATATCCTCCTAATAAATTTTAGATGTTAAAATAAATATATATTAACTCGTAATGGCATACTATTTTAAGGGCATATAATTTTTCTAATGTATCAATCAAGGGACACAAGTTTTGAAAAATGTTAATCAAAAGACACTTTAGGATGTTTGACCGGAAATTTAACTTTAAACATGAAATGACATAAATACCCCTAAAATTTAAATAATTTGTTTACTCTCAATTATAATTCATTTCGGTCCCATGTTTGCTGGCTTTCAACGGATTGGACTGATCCTAAATTCAAAATTTAATCCTGATGTAGCAGTGTAGTGTGCTTATCAATCCTGCCCATGCACGTGGGATTACCCAAGATAGGAGTAAAAAAACTCCTAAATAAATTACTGTACCTATATTAATCTAAAAATGTTATTTCTAATTATTCTAACATAAATATTCATTTGATTTAAAGCATCATTGCCTAAATTTATTTGTAAATAAAAGTTAAAATACTGGTATTCAATAATAATTAACTATAAAATTCAATTGTAAGCTATTTTATAATTACATAATAAAAGAACTTATTAATATGAAAAATACTACGATTATAACCCAATCTTACAACCTTCTCTTACAATTCTAACGTGTCGGTAGATTGGTATTGTCACGTCAGCTCTCAAGACACCAAAGACACTACTAGAAATGAATCAATCGTTCTTTCAAAAGGAACGGTTGTTACTTATGAAGGAACGACCGTTTATTCATAAGTAATGACTGTTCTTTATGAAAGAACAAAGGAACAATCATTCATTTGGTTGTTCCTATTGTTCCTTAAGGAACATTTATTCATTTCATAAGGAATGACTGTCCCTCCATTAGTAATGGTTGTTCCTTGTTTATCAACAACCATTCCTTTGGTTGTTTCTTCATAAGGAATGACTATTCCTTTCGTGAGGAATGATTATTCCTTTCGTGAGGAATGACTGTTCCCTATGAAGGAATGACGGTTTTTTGTCTAATTAAAATCATTTTGATGTGACAACGCCAACATCGAGGGTTGTAACAGAAGTTTGTGAGAAAAGATTGTTGGCGTAGCATTACTCTATTAATATATTTACAATCCAGTTTGTAATACACCAAACAAGAGACAACACTATCAATACTCTAATCCAATCTTATCCCAATTCCAAAAACCTGTCTAAGTTTTATGGGTTTACTAACACTACAATAAGATAGGGGAATTTCAGTTATTTTAAAAACTTTTAGAGGAAGTTTGTAATGATATGAAACCTCAATGGGTTATCAAACATTTACTTTACCACGTCCTTGCCAGGACAAAATATGTAAAAAAACAAAAAAAGATTCGTACTCACTCACGAATTCTATACCACTCAGTCCGCTTGCTATTCTCACAATCACTCTCGCTCCTCTTTTCAATCCAGATGCTAAAAGAATCATCCTTTATTCAACACAACCACCACTTACATTTCCCTTTCTACCCCTTGATTCCTCCGCCACCGCCCTGTCCTCCTCCTCCACCACCACCACCACTAGCACCACCGACGGCGCACTAATCGAATTCATGTATATCATTGAAACACCGGCCTCAATGTTTCTCAGTTCAGGTCTCGTCCTCGGCGCCGGTTTAATTATTAGGATTTGAGCTAAATGCTGGTTCCTGGAATTCTAGGGTTTCACGGCATCCTCGTCGTTTGTTTGCTTGTTTTTGGCGTTGTAATTCGGCAGAAATGGAGGGATTCCGCTGTCAGAAAGGTGGAGGTTACGAATCTCCTCAATGCCGTCGCCGAGGAATCGCTCATGGTGGAATTCGAAGCTGCGAATCAGTACAATTCCATGCCACGGTTCTATCAATGTGCTGTGTGTTTTCTTCCCACCACCACTCGTTGCTCCCGGTGCAAAGCTGTTCGTTACTGGTTAGTTAATTATTTAGTCTTTTAATTTTTTTTTGTGAAATTAAGAGGTAATCCAATATATGTATAGCCTTTTGAATTTCAAAATTTGGAAATTGAAGATTTTTGTTTTATGTTTTATGATTATGAATACATTTTGGTGAAACATGGAAAGTAAAGGTTTTTGTTTTGTGAATACATTTTGGTAAAACTTGGAAAGTAAAGGTTTTTGTTTAATGAATACATTTTGCTAAAACTTGGAAAATGAAGGTTTTTGTTTTATGTTTTATGAATAAATTTTGGTAAACTTGGAAAATGAAGGTTCTTGTCTTATGTTTAATGAATGAACTTGGGTAAAACTTCGATAATGAAGGTTTTTGTTTTATGTTACATGAATAAATTTTGGTAAAACTTGGGAAGTGGAGGTTTTTGTTTTATGTTTTATTACTAAATTTTGGTAATATTTGGAAAAGGGAGGCTTTTGTTTTATGAATACATTTCGGTAAAACTTGGAAAATGAAGGTTTTTGTTTTATAAATACATTTTGGTAAAACTTGAAAATGAAGGTTTTTGTTTTATGAATACATTCTGGTAAAATTTGAAAAATGAAGGTTTTTGTTTTGTGTTTTATAAATACATTTCGGTAAAACTTGAAAAAAATGAAGGTATTGTTTTATGAATAAATTTTGGTAAAACTTGGAAAATGAAGGTTTTTGTTTAATGTTTTTTTTTTTTTGAATACATTGATAAAACTTGGAATATGAAGGTTTTTGTTTTATGTTTTATGAAATACATTTTGGTTTAAGAGTTAATGAGGAACTTTAGTGCTTTAGATTAAGAGTTAATGAGGAACTTTAGTGCTTTAGATTTCTTGAATGAAATAAACAAACTTGTTGGTGCTTTGGTTGGAACATAGTTTGTTTGTTTGGTTTAATTGATTTTAGGTATTTATGGGTAATTTACGTATTGGTAGAAATTAATGATTGTTCTGTAGTTGCTGTGTTAGATTATTTTCTTTTGGACAATTTTTAAGAAGAATTGTTCTGATGGAACTTGTAGGTTTTGAAAATTCTGGAAATATTTTATTGTTGAAGTGAGAAATTCATCACTATGTGGTGCGTTGTGTTTATGATTGATGACATGGGATTTTTCGTTGTGGGAATACAAATAATAGTTAGCAGAAAGAATATAGAAAAACCTTCTGGAAGCTCAATTTAGCTCTTTGGTGGGTGAGTTTAGAAGAAAGCGAGAACTACTTGGTAGAATTTTTTTTTTCCACTTTTAGTATACCTACAGTATCCTATGATAGTCATAGATTTTTGGTAGAAATGATCTTATCGGTCTTCTGATGTTTTTATTTCTATCATTTTCTTCATCAAATTCTTTGAGTTGTTATTGATATAGGGGAGATTGCCAGATTGGTTAGGATTTTTATCTTCTTAGGTTTTACCCATTTTCTTCCTTTTTTTTTTTCCTTTTGGGAAGATTAGTTTTTTTTTTCCCCTTTCTTTTCTACTTTTGGTTTTGATAGTCATCTTTTTTCTTTTGTTGTCTTCATCATCTCTTATTCTTTTATTTTTATTTATCTTAGGATTATTAGCTATAAACAGGCTTTATATATCATTAATTAGTGTTCAGTAATATTTTTTTATATTTTTGCTTTGGAGAATTAGTTTGTAGTGTATCTGACAATATACTAATGGATTTGAGAAAATATGCTAAAACAATGTTTAACCTCCTTATTAGTTACATCAAGTGGTATAAAAGCTTTCCTTTGGTTAAAAAAAAGTTCTTATTGTATAAAAGTCTTTTATTTTATTTCTATTGCAATTCGATATAATTAGTCCTCAAGTTATGTTTATTTGGAACGTAATACGTCTAAATAATGGTTACGCCGCGATGCCATCAATGGAAATTGAACATATAATCTTTTCCAATATGTCCAACCTTCTTGTTCTTCAGCTTAACAGTGTTTGCTCTTACGTATCATCTTGCTTTACTTCAACTTCAGTGTGTTGTACCTTCTCAGCCATATTTTCAAATGGAACATCTTACTTGGTGTCAAGTTTAAGCAATTATATCTTCTCAAATAATTTTCTACTTCACCAGTTTGTTTACCTTCTTCAAAATGTGCAATCCAATATGTATTGATGTAATGATTAAATTAGAGACTACAAGAATAGTTTGCTTCAGAGTTTATCATCCTTCCACTTTAGAAGCTTTAGGAACATATTCTTATTCTCTCCCTATGGGTGACGTTTCAGCCTCGGGAGTAGGAAAAAATTATCCTTCATGCACTTAATATTGTTTCACTTTTCCCCGTGCCTTTGTAGGCCATTTTCTTTCATATTCTAGAAGTTCCTACCAAAATAGACATTATCCTTTCTGGGCTGGATATTTAGCTTGTTTCCTTTCTAGAATCTCTTTAAACTCAATGGCCTTTATTTCATCTAATGAATCAATAACATGTTCAGGATGAAAACGATAGCAAAAGTTTGGAGGATTGGAATAAGCTCATTGAAGATTGCTTTTAAAATCAGTCTTACATCCCTAATGGATTGCCCTTCTTTGATGCATCAATTCGACTACCATTTGTTTTTGTGTCTGATTTACAGATTGTTATGTGAAAGCCATTAGTGAGAGAATCTTCGATGCAACTCAGAATTTTTCTATCTTTTCTTTCTCTTAAGAGGTGCACATTGAGGCAAATGCTTTTTTTATTTTATCTTTATGTATACTGCTTGATGTAGTGGATGAGGGGGCTAATATTGTTGAGCATATGGTTTCAAGTCTATGAGAAAAGTAAGTCAAAAGGAAAATATAAGAAATACTAATGGATGATGATGATTAATAAAATAATTGACCTATTTATGACTGTAAAGCCCACGATTATAAGATTAAAAGGTGATAAAGATAAAATTTGCCCAAGATAGATATAAAAACCTAAAGACAAAAGACTAATCTTGGAAATTTTTTAACTAAAAACGAAGATAATTGCTAACCTATTAAAATTTTTAGGTCTTGTAGAAATCTTGGCAATTTCTGAGTAGGGGTAATTGCTATTTCCCTAAAAGATAGTTTTCCTCTCATGCAAAATAACTATAATCTTCTTGCCATTCGTTTTCATCCTTTAGCGTGAAGTTATTCATCCTTTAGGTTTGATGTAAGTTACACTTTTATCCTTGGATTTAACAATCATTAGTCAAGTTTGTTGACATTATCATCTCTTATGAGAAGATTTCATTACCCTTGTATAGTCCTATTACAATAACTAAAAGTAATTACTTTGATATTTAAAAATAAAATTTACAGTTATGAAATATAAATATAATTATAATTATAAAATTAATTAATATGAAATAATATAATCTAGAAAAAAGAAAATCTTGAGAAGGATTGATAAAAGCCCGATTATATTTTATTTTGAAGTATCAGCCCTCAAATGCTAAGGATGAAAATGTTGCTTTAAAAGATAATTGGGGTAAATTATACTTTTGTGGAACCTAAAGGTCGAAAAATGATTCACCCTTCAAGGTTAATGGATGGACCCTAATGGATAGGGGGGATATAGTTATTTTGGATACCATAAGAGGGAAGTTCTTTTAGGGAAACCTTAGGAGGGATTGGGCAATGACCCCTTCTAAATATGCTTGGTAGCAGCTGTTATTTGACTTCGTTATGTCAAAGAGCTACCATTCTTATGCACCTGCGAATTTTAGAACCGCCACATGTGAATTTTGCAAACGAATTAGCAGTGTGAATTCCCTCTATTAAATTATTCTCTCCTTTTTCTGATGTCCCTTGTGAGCACTTGGTGCCCAATTTGTAATCCTAAAGACTTACAAGTTGAATGGAGTCCATGCATTTTATTTTCTCCTTGTTGATAGACCATTCAACCCTATTACCACCACCACTGGCTTAGTGTTATCTGGACATTGAGGAAAAAGATAACATGTAGTAAGAGCAAAAACTATCTTAAGTTTTAGTGTATACTACCATGTTCACTGGTATTAGCACTAGTTGGGCGTTTGTACGAAGCATAAAATTTCTTTATGGATCAATGACATGGAATTAGTACTAGGTGTGAAAACTATTGATTAGAAAAATTTACCAAACCAAAATACCAAGAAGAACAAAAGACAACGAACAGTAAAGATTCACTGGAAAAAGCAATCAAAAGATGGAGACTAATAATTCTTTAAGACCGATGAATTCCCTAGAAACAAATTTTAAATGTGAGAATAAAATGAAATGGTAACCCATATGTATAGAAGAGATGAAGCTCTCACTAACTTTGGATCAAGTTGTCATGAGAACAGGTTATGCTTGGCCCTATGGGTGGCATTAACATGTCACCAAGGTTGGCTCCAAATACCTCTTAAAAGGTGTTGATTAGGTGTCACCAAAAAGGGAGTAGAGAGGGTATTAAGTGCCACCATAATTTGACCTAAGGTGCCTAATGAAGGTGACCATAGTTGGAAAGAGGAATGCTGCTACTAATTTTCCTATAAACACACATGTGACACTGGAAAAAATACACACATGATCTTCTTGCTTGGCTTAATAGAGTATCAAGACTAGATAACTTTGTTAATCGGAAATTGCCATCAAGTAGGCTTGTAAAGTAATAAGATTAATCTCAAAATTTGACAAGGAGATTGATAAAAACCGAATATTGGTAATAGATGATAGAATCACTTTTAGTAGGACCCAAGTACTCTTAGAAACTACTGGCACTGCATGTATGTTTAATCAGAATGTTATGAGGCACAAACAAAACCTCCTAGTTCTTATCTTTTTAATGTTGAATCATCAAAGAGCTAACTTCAACGTTTGGGTGATTAGTCAGAATAGTGCCAACTCCCTTTGATGTTCTTTCTGTCTTTTTGCAGGCTATTGATTGCATTTCACTAAATCACTATGTTATCGGTTATAAGTACACCTCATTGGCGATCAAATTTCATGCGTTAATATTTATCGTGAGTAGAGGAAAGGATGTTTATAGTCATTTTTATGGAAATGGCTATATCAGTTGCTGAGAGCCTAGTTTAATTATCTATGTAGATCATAACAGATAAATACAATTTAGGGAATCAGCTTGTCATTGAGTACTAGGGTGGTGGGATGTTGATGACAAGGTGTTGATATTGAGTAATTTCATGGAAAAAGTTGTTCTTATTTTGATTTCCTGTGTGTGATTGAAATCTATGTCAGGCAAGATATTTGGGAGATCATGTAGCTAGGTTGAGAAAGACCTTTGCTTGTTTGAGAATGTATGATACTGACTATTTAGTGAAGCTGGTACTTTTGTTTTTGCAGTAGTTAGTGCATTTAATGTCCCTAACCACAAGAAAGTAGAGAAGTGATTGTTTCTTAATGGTGCATGAAACCTGAAGATTTACATGGAAGATTAGGCATTATATAATTTTCGCATTGTGAGGACAACATTGTTGAAAATTCAACTATCTTCGATGTGATAAATCTTCATGTATAATGACACTGAACCTGCCACTATCAGTGTTTGGTTTATCTATTTTATGAAAATATCCTTATAGAAATTCGTCTTATTATTTTTACATCTTTGCTTTTTGGAGGGAGAGAGGGGCTTCAGTGGGATTTTCACACTGTTTTAGAAAAGATAGATTGTTTTATTTTACTTGCTGCTTGTCATTTCTTTTGATATGCTTTGGAAAATGAATCTTCAAGTATCTTGTAGAATGCCTGCCTTGTATTCTTGATGATAATTTGGCAATTAGTATGACTTTTCTGATTCAATTTGTCCTGGTCAAGTCGGAGCTCAATCATTATGGATTTTTGTCAGCTCTACTTGACTTGCATATCTTCAGAGATGTTACTGGGAGGAGTGCAACAGTGACATGTTTAGGAATACAGACTTTTTTATCATCTGAAAGTTTTGGTTGCATTTTTATGCTTTTGTTGATGTGTGGCTGAATATCTACTGTATTTGCTTCTGAATATGCACAGTTCCAGTAACTTGGTGTCTTCCTATTGTATTTACTTTTAAATATTTCTACTTGTAGTTCTGGTAAGTGTCAAATTATTCACTGGAGACAAGGTCACAAGGATGCGTGTTGTCCCTTGATTTCTACCATGCCATTGAGAGAGGAAGGTAGCATTGTTGGTGTAACAGCATCACAAAAACAGTTAGGAAGTTATAGTAATGATTCTGAGATAGAAGGCAATGTTTCTTCTGAAGCTGTATCAATGAAAGATAATGATGTGAATCTTAAGCCTTGTGCAGATGAAGAAGGAACACATTTTGATTTTCCGTCTAGCAATATTGACAGACCAGAGAGACCTAGTGCTGATGCTGTTACTCCTATGCCTGGAACAAGGACTAGAGTCAAGAAGATGAAACAGAAAATGTCACCATCTTCAGAGTCCATTAATTCAGTTGATGATATAGGTGGCACTTCTCTTGCAAGTAAATCAAATGATATGCAATTGAGTCAAAATGATGAAGAGGTTAACTTCAGATCGCAGCTTCCGAATGGGAAGACAACCATGCCAAATGATGTCCAACCGGGAAAATTGGGTGATAAGAAGCCTGTTGGAGGAGGTGCTTTGCCTGAATTGTTAATTAAAGACCCTTCTAAATCCAGGAGCTCTTTATTTTTGAGTTCTTCAAGGCCAGATTCTGTAATTAAAGATAGTAAAGATGATTTTAAGCTCCCTAAGGGAAAAGATATTCCATCTTCATCATTTTCTGCTCCTCGGACATCTTCGGCTGCAGCAGGTCAATCACATACCATATCTAGGTCTGTGTTCCTCACAAAAAATAATAATATTCCAAGCCTGCCACAAAATGCTTGTCGTGGGTTTAAAACATCGGTGCAGAAGGTTGTGCAGCAGTTTAGAGCTTCCAAACCATTGAAGTCTCATGTGCTTGGTTCAGAGACTGAGGTTGCTGAAAATTACAACGACAAGGTTATTTGCATGTTTTGATGTGGTTTTCTGGAGCCCTGTGGTTTTCTTAATTCCCATGTCACACAGTATTCATTGTTTTTTTTTACTCTTTTTGATTTGACAGACAATATTTCCGTATGATCTATTCACGAAACTTTACTCTTGTGATGAGGTGGAATTATCCCCATTTGGCCTTACAAATTGTGGAAACAGGTAATTTTAGAATTTTTTCAATTTATAAAACACTAATATATGGATGCAATATGTTTTCGCGTGCTTCATTTTCCATGCTCTTAATATTGTTTTCTGGTGAATACTTCTACGAGGTGGGTGAATTAACCATTGCTGTTGTTTCTGGTTCATACTTTTTGAAACAACAAGATTGCTAAAATCATGCACTTATTATCTTAGTCTGTATTGTGTACGTCGTTTATGGTTTTCCACTATATTTATTTTTTGGGTATTTAGAGGTTTTAAGCCATTGATTTTTAAATCAAGGCCATATTCGTTTGGTAATTTAATAAGGCATTTAACATTGAAATATTTAGTTTCTTGTTTTTTCATATGGCTAAATATCTTGAATTTCTGCAGTTGTTATGCTAATGCTGTGCTCCAATGCTTGGCATTTACTCAGCCTTTGAGTTCCTATCTTGTTCAAAGGCTCCACTCCAGAGCTTGTAAGTTCTTTTAATGCTTTGTTTGTGGATTAACAACGAGTTTATTATTAGGAATTTGTGCTCGTTAACACTCTCATTCTTTCAATTATCATCTTTCCCAGGTCGAAAGAAAGAGTGGTGTTTCATTTGTGAGTTTGAGCGCCTAATTCTGAAGGCAAGGGAGGGAAACTCTCCTGTGTCCCCCATAGGTATACTATCCAAGATTGAAAAAATCGGAAGTCATCTTGGTCATGGGAGAGAAGAAGATGCTCATGAATTTCTAAGGTGAAACAGCTAATAACCTACTGTTTGTTTGTATTTACTGTTTTTATATTAAAATTGGGGATAACAACTGTAAACCCCCCAAGGTTTCCCTACTGTACTATACACCCCCGAAGGTATCAGAAATAGCTTTGAGACCCCACCATTAGCAAACGTTCTGAAATTTGTCATTTGACTAGTAAATACCTATATTGCCATTGTCCTTAAATCACCTTCCCCTGCCCCACCCCACCCCACTCCACCCCGCCACACCTCACCCGAGCACCTATAACCCAGATCAACACAGCAAACAACTAAATTCACCGATCCAAACCTAATCTGCAACGAATTCAAAATCAACCTACAAGATATGTTTTTATTTAATTGGATTATCCACAAAAATTTTCTTAACGTTTGATAAATAGTGAGGGTCTCAGAGCTATTTCTGATATCCATAGGGGTTTATGATATTAGGGAAACCTTGGGCGTTTTACAGTTATTGTGCCTTAAATTTTGTTATCTTCGCAAATGTGAATTACGACATTACTCTATAAGATGGCAGGTGTGCTGTGGATACAATGCAATCTGTTTGCCTCAAGGAGGTTGGGACCCAAGGAAAATTAGCAGAAGAAACAACTTTAATAGGCTTGACTTTCGGGGGTTTCCTTTTATCTAAGGTTTGTTCATGATCTTGATGATACATCTATGATAATGTTATTTTTCCTTACCAAAGTAGAAGTCGTCTCATTTTTGTTATTTGGAATGTCATGATCGGGTTTTATCAGATCAAATGCTTGAAATGCCACAGTAAATCTGAGTGGTGTGAGCGGATGATGGATCTAACTGTTGAGATAGATGGGGACATTGAAACACTTGAAGATGCTCTTGCCCAATTTACAGCTACTGAGATCTTGGTTGGAGAGAACAAGTATCATTGCGACAGGTTAATTAAATGCTCATTTTCCATTCTTAGTTCTTGCTCAAATTTCCTAGAATCAAGATATTTACATGTTCTGTTGTTTTATGCCCCATGGTTTAGGTTCTTAGAATAAAAATCTCATTCATTTGGCACTTTAAGTGTTATCCATTTTATCTAAGTTTTAAGTCTTACTTTTATTCTGTGGTTTCTTCTCTGATTACAATACAAGTCTCTTAAAGTAATTGAATAATTTGTTTGACCCTTTAGTGATGCAAAGTAAAATTTACATTATATTGTCTCAATCAGGTGTAAATCATATGAGAAAGCCAAAAAGAAGTTGATGATATTGGAGGAGCCAAATATACTTACTATTGTCTTAAAAAGATTTCAGGTAGTTCTTTGACTGCAAGTTCCTGTGCTTTTTATGTGATCTTGATTGTTGATGTTTGCTCTGCCATTTGTGCCTTGTAGTCTCGAAACTTTGGGAAGTTAAATAAATCAGTTCAGTTCCCTGATGTCCTCAACATAGCTCCATATATGAGTGAAACTGGCGACAGATCTCCTGTGTACAGTCTCTATGCAGTGGTTGTTCACTTGGATGTTACGCATGCTGCATTTTCTGGTCATTATGTTTGTTATGTGAAGGATTCTCATGGGGAGTGGTTCAGAATTGATGACAGCAGTGTATGTTTCTTGTTTACCTCTAATGTGTTTAGTGTTTACAAGTATTGTTGTTCCTTTGAGGCTTGGCTTTGTTTGCTCTCTTATCTATTTGTTACAGAAAAATATCCCCTTTAACTAAAAGCTGCCCCCTTTCGAAGTTGGAATTGACTTAGAACAAAAGAAAACTGTTCTGCATATGTATTTTAACCCTTTCCCCTAATTGTATCAAATGTTTAGGATTGTAAATACCAAATTATACTTGCATCCTTGATTAATTGAGGTACACTTACTATGAAATCTTGCATCCTCAAGGTTGGAGTTCATTCTTTGGATACTTTTTAGCATCTTCCATTTTTCACAATTTTGAATTTATTAAGAGAATTGATGAAACTTGTTCAATACGTTAAATGGTGTCTTTTGTGCATATATGAACTCTAGCTGTTGACTAGTGTTGTTTTGCTGGTTGCGATACTATGCTAGAAAATAAATAGATAAATTATATTTTTATTTATTGAACTTATAGAATTTGGATAATCCTTTTTTTTTTTTTTTTTTAATAATTAGATTGGAATCTGTTTTTGAATTATAAACTGACTGGTGATATATTATGTAGGTTATGCCTGTAGAGTTGGAGGTGGTCTTATTACAAGAGGCATACATGCTCTTGTATGCAAGGTAATCTATCAGTATGGCTGGATTGATAAAATATATATTCTTCACTTTATTGGAGCATTAGCACTTTCAGTTTTCTTATTCTCAGGCACTCTCCACGGCCTCCAACTTTGATGAGAAATAATGTGGTGTGTCATGGTGTGAAGTCCAAGAGGAGGAGTTGGGAAGCTGTTCCTTCTGGCCATAATGCTTCCAAGCAGAAATCTAAATCTGATATTCCAGCTAGGCAAAAGTTTGGTTTAACCAACAATCAGATGCCTTATGGAGATGAATGGAGATATCAGTCAATGCGAAGAATTCCAACTGTAGATTCATTAAGTGAAAGTTCTTCCATTTTCAGCTGGTCCGATGCCAGTTCTTGCAGCACAGCTAGTACGAAGGATTCTTCAAGGAGTGAGGACTTAACTGATTTCATATTTGGTGAAATGGGACCTAGCTGGTACAGCCGCTATGGGATTTTATCAGACTCGGTTACATCTTCCTCGCAGAACTTCAACACAGACCCAGATGACTGGAGAGAGGGTTGGAGACAAGATGGAAACCCTGAAATTTTGGATACTGACTCAATTGAACATTATGAAAACTTAAGCCACCGGTTTGTTAGTAATAGCAGAAAGGGCGTTAATTCTGACAATGTATTCTCGGCTAATCCTTATGATGTAAGATTAAGGAGAGCAAGTGACAATACGTCAGCTCAAACGTTTTATCGAGGTTTGAGTTGATATTAAATTAAGCAATCTATTGAAATATAATGAAGAAAGTTAATTATCAGTCGCCCCCTAATCTCTCTAGACTTGTTATCCATCTTTCCTTTCCGTTACTTCATCTTTAATTGGCATCGACTGGGCTGGAGTAGCTGAAATCGCAGTTTGATGGATAGAGATTATGGGTGAAATGAAATAGAAGTTTATTATTTACAACAAATGCAAATATCTCCAATCGTCACCAGTCTACCGAAGCCGCAAAAATAACATGATGTTTACAAGAGCCAGAAAATTAATAGAATGATTGACAAGTCATTCAGGCTACAAACACGTTCACCAGTCAACCGAAGCCCCAAAAAAGGAAAATAAATTTAAGGTTGGGGCATAAGCGAGCGAAGAGGAAGAGGCAGGCATTGAAAGTCTACTGCAAAAGAAAACAAAAACCAAATGCCTGTGGCCACAACAATACACAACTATTGCCACAAGTTCAATCATCGCTCACTCTTCTCACTCACCCGCGCCAAGGCAGCTCCAATGGTCACCTCGTTAGCTAGCAGTAGCCACGGCAACAGTGCAGGCGCATACACTACAATCAAAGAGAGAGTAACTTTTCAGAAAGAAATCAAAAAGAGCAAATTCATCGCCATCGCTGGACCTATTTCCAACGAACAATCTGCCCGTTCTTTCCTTTCTCAGGTATTTTATATTTATATAATCCACGTTGACAATTTCGTTTTTCATTAAATGGATGTTATTTCATGTTGTTTGTGTAGGTTGGGGACCCTCGCGCTACTCACAACTGCTGGGCTTATAAGGTATGGTGTTTGAATAATAATTGTATTGTTTGGTAGATTTGAATTGATTTGTAAATGTAGTTATGTGATATAATTTGTAGGTTGGAGATCAATACCGGTCTAATGATGATGGTGAACCTTCGGGTACTGCTGGCAAACCTATTCATTCTGCTATTGTTTCTTCTGGTTTAGATAGAGTTATGGTCGTTGTCACAAGGTGATTTTTTTTTTTTTTTAAGACTTTTGTGTTTGCCCATTTCTTTTACTAGATTTTTTTGGAATATTTTCTTGAGTTCCTCGTGAGGTTAGCTAAAGTACAGGCTTACGCCTGAGTTGAAACCTCCTTTGAGATTATGAAAATTTTTATAAGCCATTCATCATCACATACCTATCTGAAGTAAATGAAATTTACCTCAGATGTTATTTGCATCAAATTTGTTTGAAGGCTTCATGTGTAGGAAAAGATAAATGAAAATTCAGATTGGTGTTGTGATTAAGCATTTTGTGGGTGCANTTTATGTATAAAAGACACATGAATTGTAATGAAAAGAAAACTTTGGGCCCAATTTTCTATTGCTATTATGCATGCATTGTACAGTTTTCAGTAGATGTTACACTAGCTAAACAAGTCAATTCATACTCAAAAACGAAATAAAATAACAAAAATAAACTGAATCAAGATTCATCATTGAAAAACAAGCAAAAGATGGAGAAATCTTCTCTAATTTGAAGCCCAAATCTTCAATACTCTTTTCCTTCCAAGAGCTGCCTTCCAAATGACGAACCAAGTCCCCTTTTCTCTTCATTTTTGCTCTAATTTATACCTCTCTCACTTAAGGATGAAGCCCTAGCAAGCCAAAACGCGTCGTTTTATTTTTACAGCTGATGCAGGTTTCGCTGCGGCGAAGTTTTTTCCTTGCCGTGGCGAGGACTTTCGAGCCAAATTTGAGCATGATAGATTCTGAATCTTGAAAAGTGTTAAAAATAGGAATTGTATCCCATTCAATTATATTTCCATTCGTTCAAGAATCAGCACAATCCGAGGTATACATCTCAAGTTATGGCAGAAATACTGAAGCGCATCCAAAGACATTTTTTCTTCAGTTCCCAGCGTACTTTTCAAGACTTCAAGCCAAAATTTCACCCTTGTCCAGTCAGAATTAGGAAAAAACCAAAACATAAGACTTGTAGCTCTTCTTCTTAGCTTTCCAAAGCTTCTAAATTCAGGTCATTCTAAGTTTTCAATATGAAGTTACACAATTTACGCTCAAAACTATCATTAGTGCTCAAAATCATCGTTTAGGCCTGCAAAGACAAATTAATAGAACTAGGTAGCAATTATGACCCAAATTGTATGAAAAATATCCTAAATCCTATCAAAATTCAATGCAAAATCATAGTGTAAAATATGATTATCACTTGACATGCACAAGATCGGTATGCCCGAGAAGCCTGATATGAGCCTTACATTGTTCTCAATCTGGAACAGCGACCTCACAAACAACGTAGAAAAGAAGAAGTAACCTTCTTTGAAAAAGATGCGAGACGAGTGCATCACCTTCATGTTGATGAATTGGTCATCGCTGCTAAGATAGGAAGATGCGAAGTTCACAGAATGTTGATAGACAATGGGAGCACCATGAATATCCTGTTTCAAAAAGCCTTTGAGGAGATGAAGCTGTAAGATACATACCTTCAGCCTGTAGCCACCCTTCTCTATGGGTTTACCGGGGAACATCTAACTCTTCGAGGAATGATAACTCTTCCAATCACTTTGGGCGATCCCCACGAAGTTACCAAGATGACGAAATTCCTGGTAGTGGACTGCCCTTCTGCATTCAATGGCATCATTAGACAACCACAACTATGTACCTTCAAAGCCATCACTTCCATCTACCATCAGAAGATGAAGTTCTCTACTTCATCAGGGTGTGGGGAAGTGAGGGGATCACAACGTAAATCTCGCGACTGCTACAATCAAGCAATCAAGATTGCATGCAACGGGAAAGGAAAGCCCGAGGGCAAGCCAGAGCAGTCAGTGGCGACCAGCAAGATGAAGCCACAACATGGCCTAGAGGATTTTGTTTTGTTTATAGTATCATTTCAGCTATGTTCGTAGGGAAGGGATTTTCTAGTATTTTTGTGGTAACTTGAATTTTAGTTCCAAGTTTGGTATTATTTTAAGGCGCAACAATGACCAAACCGGTCAATTAATGTCTTTGAATATGGATTTGTTATAGAAAAAGAGCATCTATATAGCTACAATTAAACTTTCTTTATAATTAGAAATGGATATTATCATTTATGGTATAAACTTTTTAGAATTTTCGGATGGAAAGACAAAAGTTACAAATCCTTCAATTAAGGGATATTTAATAGCTGGTGATTTACCATTAACTTTAATGAAAAATGATAAAATGTCTTAGATGTCTTTAACTTTTTTTTTTTTCCTAACTAAATTTAATTTTTTTAAAAACTAAACACTGACCAACATTTTTTGAGTAAATAAAAAAAAAAAAAAATTGAAACGAAAAAACTTCAAAAAAGAAAGCTTTTTCTGGCCTTTTTTTTTCCCAAAATTTTCATTTTTACGTTTTTATTTCTTTTTGTATTTTGTATTTTTTTGACCTTTTTAGTAATTTTAATTCATTTTTAAGAAGAAATAATTTAAATGTATACTATTACTATTTAGCTTTTATATAATGTCAAATTTAACTCTATATTTTTTTTTTATTGTCCCTTAATAGAAGGATTTGTAAAATTTGTCCTTTTATTAAAAATTTCTGAAGAAATTGTACTCTAATATCATATCCCTGATTAGAAACGAGGTAGGCAGGGGGGTAATGGGTATCCACCAAAAAAATATTATTTTTCATAATTATCTATATATTCTTACCTTAATTTGTGTCAGCCTAAAGATAATTTTTTTTAATATATTGATATATAAATTATCATGTTATCCCATCATTCATATGTTAATAAGATTCAATTACTATTTGAGTTAGGATATAAAAATTGATTTTTTTTTTTTTTTTGCAAATAAAATTGTATTGATTGTTTATGTTTATTCGAACATAACTTATGTTTCTCAAATTTCAGGTGAGTTAATTGTTTTAAGAAATGAGTTTGTTGGAAATTAAACTAAGTTTATTTAGTCTTATTAAAAGTTTAGCTTATTTAGTCTTGCAAAAATAGGATTTGTCACAGTTTTTAATAAGGTTAGTTTAAAGATTTTTAGCTTGAGCAGAATTCAAGAACGCATTCCTAGTTCGATTTGCTTAGGTGGTAGATTCGAGAGCCATTCAAATTAAAATCTAACAAATTATACCTATGAAGGTGATAGATTCTGTTATGCCTAAAATAGGGTTGACCTATGCTGATGTCATCAAACACCAATCAGAATTCAAGAAAGCATTCCACTGTCCAGAACATGCGACATCTCCAAAGACAAAAGGAATATAGTTGTCAACAACTAGGACTGTAAACGAGCCGAGCCGAGCGATAAGGCTCGGTTCTACTCGACTCGAACTCGATTCGTTAACCGAGTCGAGTTCGAACACAGTGAAGCTCGGCTCGTGGGTTTGCGATCCTGGCTCAGCTCGTGGGCTCGCGAGCCTGGTCCGGCTTGATTAAGCACTGTACACTTCATAGGGTGTTTTGGTGATTTTTTAAACTATTATGTATTAAACTGATATTTTTCAGTGAAAAAAGTTTTAAAAAATGGCAGTTTCACCCCCAAAGTGCAAATTTGAAATAATACGATACACCAAAACAGAGCGTCAATTTTAGTTCCCCATCCTAGTTGCCCTAAATCCCAAATCACAATCAAAGACCCCCAAATCCCAAATCGCGAACCAGACACTCTGAAATCGGTAATCTCCTAGGAATGTTATTTATATATATTCAGAACTGTTTTTTGATTTTGTAAGGTAATAGACATTTTGTAATGTTCGAAACTGTCATGGTTAACTCAACATTGGATGTAAATATGAAATGCTGTACGTAGGCAGATTGCTGTAAAAAAGGGGAACTTGGCTCCATCAAACCCGGATAAATGGTGGTTTGATCGAGCCTTATCAAGCTCGAGCCCGACACTGTTGTAAACGAGCCGAGCTCGATAAGCCAAAAGCTCGGCTCGGCTCATTTACACCTTAACAACCCAATCGACTCAAGAATTTGTCCTTGGATAAATTTGGTTTGCACACTTGTCCAAGCCCCATTTAATTTAAGGATATTCTTTGAGTTCTCAACGAATGCGAAAGCAAGAGAGATCTTCACGACATCAAGCCACTTGCAAAAGTGTAATCATTATTTTGAGCAAAACATGTATAAATAGGCAACTCCTCCTCACAAAATCGAGATCAGACATTTAGAACACCAAACACTTATAATACCAGATCACAGTTCATGACCTCTTGTAAGCCTGTCTAACGACCAGGAACAAATTTATATAAAAAACACAGCGAATGTAGGATTTGCTTTAAGCATCTGAACCACTGTAAAAATTCTCTTGTCAACTTTATATTTACATCTTTGCATGCTACTGTGACCAAGATGATGGAATTCCTGGTAGTGGACTGTCCTTTTACATTCAATGGCATCATTGGATGATCACTACTGCGGGACTTCAAAGCCGTCACTTCTATCTACTATCAGAAGATGAAGTTCCCTACTCCGTTAAGGTGTAGGGAAGTGAGGAGATCACAACGTGAATCTCATGACTACTACAATCAAGCAGTCTAGATTGCATGCAAGGGGAAAGGAAAGCCCGAGGGCAAGCCAGAGTAGTCAATGGCGACCAGCAAAATGAAGCCACAACATGGCCTAGTGGAGGATAACATTGATCCTCGTATTCAGGAGGGAATTCCTACAGTGGGCCAGTAGAGACATTGTTTGAGGTAATTATCGACGAGCATGAGCTAGCTCGTATGTTGATAATTGAGAGTAATTACAGCCCCCAGCTTGCAACTAATTTAACGAGCTTCCTTAGACAAAATATAAATGTTTTTTCATGGATACATGCTGACATAATTGGGATCAGCCCTAAAGTCAGGTGCCATGCACTCAACATCGATCGTGAGATTAGACTAGTTCGCCAAAAAAGAAGAGTCATAGACCTAGAGTGCTATACGGCTCTCAAAAGTGAGGTGGATAAGTGTTGAATGGTGAAATGGTATTTATATTATGTGATTCTATGGGTAGATTGTTTGAAATTCATGACTATAATAGATTATTTTTATGCAAGTTTGTTTATATATTTCTATTTTCAAGAATCATGGGTACGTGTATGAGTTTCAGGTTTTTAGGCAAAAAAA